GTTGAGTGTTTTGAGCACGGATGGATCGCTGGCTCGTCGTTTGTTGTTGGATGGGCTAGCTCCCGTGTACAGTCATATGTCCAAGTTTGTCTTGGTTAGGTGGGCTGGGGGCTGCGCCCCGTAAATATACCCTCTTCCATATGGCGCAATACGATTCACCTGGCAGTGTACAGCATGTGCACCCAGCACATAAAAGCAATGGCATTCATGTCGTGATAGAAAAGCACCCAGCGCCTTACACAGAAAACGTACAAGCAAATTCGTTTTTATACCGATGGTTCGAAACATGACAATGGAGTGGGATGTGCTAACATTCATATTGAAAATGGGCGGATAGACAACAAATGGAAAGGTATCGGCCCACAATAGCATTTTCCAGGCTGAAGCACTGGAAATTGCAGCTGCAATACACTATGCGCTAAACATAAACCCAGTAACAACTGAAATCCACGCAAACAGCATGTCAGTACTACAAGCACTCAAAAAGCACCAACTTACCTCCCCCATAATTACAGAAATCGAGCAGCTCCTGCGCCACAACCAGCAAACCATCTTCAAATTAATATGAGTTAAGGGACACGCTGGTATTGAGTGCAACGAGATGGCCTACCAGTTAGCAAATGAGGTGGCCACTAATAGCGATACGCAAAAGGTGATAGCTCCAATCCTGGCTTCGCATCTAAAGCGAATCCTGAAAGACCTTGGCAAAAGCAGTGGCAACAGGAATGGGATAACGGAGAAAGAGGGCGAAGGACGCACAACTTTTATCCAATAGTTGACAACGAACGTCTACAGGCCATAGCACCCCTGACAAATTACATTACGAGTCATGGCCCATTTCCTACCTAATTCCAGAGATTTGCCATTTCGACGACAGATATATGTGTCTGCGGGGCAATTGGCTCCCCTGACCACTATACATTTCAACGTAGTCTTACGTCCAACCTCCGCCTACCACTCCCAACCACAAATACAGATTCCTATAAGCGCTTTGACATTAAACATCCATCAGAGATAAAAAAATGATCTGTGAAATAATAAAGTAGGTAAACGCCTTAGGACAGGATGTTTGCCATTCAAACTAACCCCACTAAGAGCACCTCAAACACAACCATAGCTAGCCTTTGTGTATGTCCATCAATGTTCGCCAATTCGGTATGTCAAAACTGTATTTACCTAACTAACTGTGTCAGTGAGCCATACATACCCACACAAACTTTAACACTGTGCGAAACTATAAACTGGTAAACTGGCACAGTGCAAACTAGTCGTCATAATTAAGTTACCAATAATCTACATCACACGTATTGTGCTGGGTATTATGACTGTTTTACAGTACATAATACCATTGTACGCAGACTAATCAATTGTACGCAGATTAAAATAATGGTGATTATTTTAATCTGTCTCATATTTGTTTGTGCATACACAAAGCATTGGAATGCTATACTAACAGCTTTATACAGTCACACAGAATTTGCCTCTGCCTGAGTAGTCGTGAGTAAACATTATCCAATACCCACAGCATTGTGTAACTCATAACATAAATGCGTTATACAAACTATCTGCAACATTATATGCACCCTATTCTGCACTGTATCTGTATAACTGCACTGTATCTGCTATATATAATATGCATCTATCTACATTGTGTGTGCATTACCAGTATAATATGTATTATCTGCAATACCTTACGACCTGCAATGTATCTGCAATACCTGTGAAATCCAATAGCTTTGTACAGAATTATTTAGCTTTGCACGAACACACAACATGGCATTCATGATATTGCACACTATAACTGTGCTGTGTATAGTTGTATAGTGTTATATTTTGTTTCATTCTGTTCTTATAACTGTGCGCAAACTAAATTCTAACATCTAATACTCTACAAGCATTGTGTATCCGGCTTTGGACTGCGTATCTGTTCTGTGGCCAATGTGTATATGAAAATTATTGTGTTACTTATTGTATTGTGTATATATGAAAAGTATTGTTAGATATTATATTAGATGCACCGTGCTTATTGATGCACGGTGCATCTAATATAATATCTAATAAGTGCCGCACACTTCTATAACATAGTGTCTCCACTACAGTTACTTGCCTGCACATCATATCTGTATTATACAAACTATCTGCACTGTATCTGACATATATGATATATATATATATAATGTATAATTCATCTATCAATATTATATCTGCATTATCATCTCATAGCTCCTCACAGAAATATATAGCTTGGCAACATCACACAACATAGCATGCATGGTGCTGCGTATTATAATTGTGTTGTATATCACAGTATACGGCTTTAGTTTCTAAGTATAATTGTGTTTATATAAATTGTGCACTATAATTGTATTGTATGTGGTAGTATAGCGTTTTATTCTGTGTTTTAAGTTAGTATAATTGTGTTGGCATAATTTTACACCATAACTGTGTTATCTATAGTAGTATAGTGTTTTATTTTGTTTTTACAATTGTCCGCAATATAATTTCTAATATCTAACACTTTACTAGCATAGTGTATCCGTTTTTACATTGTGTTTCAATTCTGTAAGCATTGTGTATATAAAAAGTGCTGCATATCTATTCAAATTATATAAGCATTGTGTACCTGATATAATATTTAAGAAGCATAATGTATTCTACAGCGTAAAGTTTCATCTGTAATTACTAATTTTACTCTATACAATATCAGCATTATACAACCTACTTGTATTCTATCTGCAATATGTCTACTCTACACAAAGCGTAGAATTAATCTGCATCTACCTACAGTGAATCTACTTAATCTGTATAATCTAATAACTTTGCATAGAAATACTTGGCTTAGCAAAATTACACAACACGGCATACATGGTGTTACATATTAACATTGTCTTACATATTATTGTATAGTGATTTATTCGGTTTGTATAATAATGTATAATATCTAATAAGTGTCGTTTTACTTTTATAATATCTAATGTCTAATATACAACAAGCATTGTGTAACTGATTCTGCACTGTGTATATATTCTGTAAGCACTGTGAATATAAAAGCATTGTGTATATATTCTAATTCTATAAGCATTGTGTACCTAATACAATATCGAATAAGCATTGTATACAGTGCAGCAAAGAGTCTGCAATTATTGATCGCAGCGCATACATTAACGACATTATATAACCTGTCTGTATTGTACCTGTTATATACATAGTGTATAAGTAGTCTGTATTTATCTGCATTGTATCCTCATTACCTGTTTAATCTAATACCTCTACATAGAATTTTTAGGCTTGGCAACATCACGCAACACAGCCTGCATGGCGCTGCGTGTAAAACTGAAGTGTATTTTGTTGTACAGTGTTTTATTCTGTTTATATAATTGTGCGCAATCTAATATCTAATAACTAACACTCCACAAGCATGGTGTATCTGATCTCGCATTGTGTATGTATTCGTATGGTGTATCTACCTGATTTCGCATTGTGTATCTATTCGTATGGTGTATCTACATGATTTCGCATTGTGTATCTGTTCGTATGGTGTATCTACCTGATTTCGCATTGTGTAACTATCTATAAGCATCGTGTATCTAATATAAGCACTGCGTAACTACTCAAAATATATAAGCACTGTGTATATTGCTTGTACAAGTGCAAACAATCTAATAACAAAATCTAATATTCTACAGTGTGTCTGTATGTTTTATATGCGCATTTTACATGTGATCTATATGTATCTTTAAATGCGTTAAGTGTATAATATATATTAGCTTAATTATGTTTAATTATAATTATATGTTTTACTTGTATAGGTGTGTGCAAACTAATATCTAATTTCTGTTATTCTATAATGTGTTTACATGTTTTACATGTGTTATTTATATATGTGGTCTTATATATTATTTATACGTGTTTTTTATGTGTCTTTATATGTGCAAGTGTAAGTGTATGTGTTTGTACATGCTGTAAATTGTGTTTAACAAACCAAGTTATAACAAATCATTCGCTATCAATTAAAACTTATGCATCCTTAAGACGCCCCTGTGAGGCCATGCACAATTACGTAAAATTCTTCAATAAACTTCTGAGCTGGCCTCATAAGGCTCCAGGGAGTTGCTGCTACCAGACAAGGGAGGGCGTAGGACATATGCTTGTTTACCACTGTTAAACACCAAGCGTCCTACGTCACCAGTCACCAGCCATCACATTTGACGGGAAATGGCCAAACGTCTCCAAACCTAGCAGACCCTCTCTAAGGGTAATAGATATTGCAATTGAATATCCGTGATTGATACCTGCATTAGCTGTAATCTGACATGCTCCCCAGGGACTTCGAAGGGCAGAAAGCTTTAGAGGTTTCTCGTCGGCAGGTAGAAAAGTATAAGAAGAGAGATAACATGAGTTTCTCTGTTATTAGTGGTTAGTTCATAATCATTCCAAGCATTGAGACAACTGCGTGTCTGATTCGCTCTCGACATGCGTTTGTACTGAGCTATGTTTAACGTCCTTAGTAGTTTGAAGTGTACCTACTAATTATACTCTGTGAAGCTGTAAAGAGCTGTACGTATAATTATGCAGAAAGTTTCAGAAATGTGAAGAAATTTTACGGTAAAATATATTTTATCAAGATATCATCTGTTCTGCGTGCATTCGATTTATTAAGAAACTGTATGCACACAATGTTTTATGTAAAAGTGAACTTTTCTTACGTGTCTGCGACACAAAAGTATAATTCTCTGCAAACGTTAACTTTAATATAAGAGTTGAATTTCGGAAATCTACTACTAATGCGATTAGCACTGCTTTGGATCCCGCATAATAATTTACTATAGAAAACATTAATTCCAATCTGAGCGAATATATATACCGGTTTTTTTATACCTGATTTCAAACCTCTTCCAGGAAAATAGAGACTGACAAGTTCATTCGTCCTTAACATACACATTGCATTAAATTTTTAACCCTTTAATAAAATCATTGAACAAAGTTTGAGTACTACATACCTGAATCTCCTGATTGCGCACCAACTACCAATGCACCTGAATCACCTAATATAAGAAAATATGCAGTAGTTACAACTTTCAATATTTTAGGTTTCATAGGATTAAAATGTTTCTTTTTAATGACAATAAATGCGAAGACTTACAGAATTATAAATTAGTGTTCATCTTACAGCCTTATGTAATTCGTACCTACAAGTAGACGGTAGGTATCCTTTAAGAGCCAACTCCTCGAGTTAATTGTGTCCAACATCGGCTGATTAAGTATAATTAGTATTAGATTATTTTATATTTTCTAATTAAAATCAAATCCCAAAAGGAGGTTTATTGTACACCCCAGAGGAACCACATATTTTTTTTTATCTACGGTAGAATAAATGGGTAAATTAACATGTCTTTGTACTTGTTACGTACACTAGAAGTTGAAGCTATGAGAGAATTTGCAATACCTGAAAAATTTATAAATTTGGTCACTATTACTCTTACTGAAACAGAACTTAGGGTTAAAATCTAGAATACTCTTTCTGAGCCTATTGCGGTTTCAAAGGGGCTCAGACAGGATGATGCACTTGCCTGCTTGCTTTTCAACCTTGCCCTCCAAAAAATCAATAGACTCCAACAGTAATACTCGTGGAACTATATTTAACAAGTCTGTTCACAGTTTACGTTTGCTGACGATACTGACATAGTCTTACGCACTCCCGAGTCACTTAGGGAAGCTTTTACATCTCTAGAGGCTGCAGCCAACAAAATGCACCTAACAATCAATCAAAATAAAACTAAATACATGCCATGTGGTAATTACAGTAATTACAGTAGCCCTTATTTTGAAATTAGGAATTGCAAATTTAGATATTTAGGATCAGAAGTTAATACTCTCAATGATTTAATGCCTGAGATTTGTAGTAGAGCCCCAGATGCTAACCGACATGTTTTCGGTCTCAAAAAATTCTTGAAGCCTAACTTCACTAGGAGAAAAACGAAGATTTTAGTTTACAAAAGTTTAATCAGATCCATTTTTACATACTTTGCTGAGACCTGGGCAATGATAGAAAAAGCTAAAAGTATCATTTCTATCTTTTAAAAAAAAATTTTTGAGAAGAAGTATTTTTGGTGGAATAGAATGTAACAATATCTGGAGACGAAGAACTAACTCTGAACTCTATAAATCTTTTAAAGAAATAGATATAGTAAATTATATAAGGATATATACAATTAAATGAGTAGGACACCTATGCAGAACGGATGAAAACCGAGTAACTAAAATGATCTTCTCGGCCAGGCCATTCGGAACACGAAAAAGAAGGGGACCTAAACTTAGGTGGCTCGGCAATTTGGAAACAGACTTATGAATTTTAAAAAATAACCAATTGGATGTCCATGGCCAGGGATAAAAGAGCGTGGAATTCGATTCTGAGGAAGGCAAGGTCCCATCCTGAGCTGTCTGGCCAGTGAAGAAGAAGATATACACTAGAAAGAACTCAGCGAATAGTAACTAATAATTTCATCAGTATTCTAGTTTACGTGGAACTCCAGTTTAGGTAGAATATTACAACCTCATTTCTGGTTAAATACAAGAGAAATTTGTTAAATATATTGGCATTGCGGTTTTCAGTACATAGGCCAATCACGACCAGTGTTTAAAACGTTTTCGGCAGCTTATCATAAGTAGATTTTGACAATAAATTTTGCTGAATCATATCAAAATTTTGCTAGGCTTCCTTACATACCTAAATCTTCTTTTTTTTCTGTTATTAAGATCGCATGAAACATTTCAACTTCTCAAAAATTTGTCCTTCTTTGTTTAATATTATTAAGAGCGATCCAAATCTATATAATGTTTTCAGATTTGTGACATCAGAGTTTGTCACGTCAGATATATAATTTCTTTTGATAGATAGCACTCCAACTGTGAATTATATGTTCTATCCATTTTTTAGAGTAGAAGTATTATACTCTTCTGCAAATTTTCCTGCCAAAGCTAGTTTCCCTAAAACAGGGGGAGCTACGTGTGTTCGCCCTAGAATTTGAAAGGAATTTAATGAATGCATAGATTTATTCTAATTTTATGTCCATGAGTGCATGTTTTGGATAACCTCAAATTCTGAATTGCCGTGAACTACACGTGGTGATTTCAAATTTATTATGTACAAACTTTGAGGAATAATCCAGAACAAAGATACGACGAATATTCTCATAAAACCCTCGGGACGTAAGCCATTTATTGATTCATAAATACAACTTAAAAAGCGCTTTCAATAAAATACTGTAAAGTGCGAACATGCCAATATATTGAGGTCACATAACATCTCGTATGAATTGCGTCATAAGAAGAACAGCACACCTAGAAAAATTTGAAACTCATTTAAAAGGATCTTCTTGAAATTACGTCACGAAGCAGATTTGCATATTAGTAATCTTCATAAATACGTACTGCTGTGAAAGAAGGTAGTAGGGAAGGAATATATTCGCGATCGTACTGTCTTCAGTGATGGAAGACTTTATGTGTGCCTAAAGAGCAGATACGGACTACATGCATGGCCTTGCAAACTGTAATGCCAGATCTGTGCTACGAAAGACAAACGCGCGATTTCTCGATAGTCGAATGCCCGAGCATAAAATGTTTTATCGGTCACATCGTCAACTTTGTGAAACTTGTGTATTTTCGTCATCAGACAGTATGCTCGTCCACGAAAAACTGTACATAGTGCAAGATATGAAGGTAGAATTTTGAGCGGAATAAGTGCAAGAGATGTTGGAAAAAGCTTAGGCTTTGGTCAGAATAACATTCGGAGAGCCTTAAACGAAAAGCGCTTAAACCCCCCCATCCTTCTGTGAATACAAGAGGTGAATCCGCAAGACAATCCTCTGTGTCTGAAATTCTACCAGTGGTGTGGGCTTTGCAGCAATTTTCATTTCAGGCAATTCTCACAGCTCCAGCTCTGATTACAGATCCGGCGACATAAACTCGCCAGGGTGTATTTGATGCCCACAGTTCTCATCTTTGCGCAAAAAAGAATTAAAAGGTTACGCGACTACGTGTATCTCAACAAAAAATCAGTGTGAATCTGCGGTCAAGTATCGTGCTCGAATGTTTAATGGGCCATACCTACTGCCGCAGTGACCCAAATGTAAAATATATCTTTTTTTCTTGAATACGTGTTACCAAAAATGTTCCAGGATGTTCCGATTATATTTTTTGGGATATCCAAACTGTCTTGTCTATGCAACTCCAGTTGACTCAGCTAAGGTTATCGTTACTCGAATATCAGTAGCTCCTGCGTGTGTGCGTGAAATAACTGGCATTAATGGGAGTGTACACAAGTCTCTCCACTGAAGTTGTCAAGCATGTATCGCTGTTGGCAATCGGAAGTTAAAACTGTTCTTGTAAACATCTTATTTCAATTGAAGTGAGAAATCCCGTATTTATGCCTCAATACATGGAATTCTACCTAAGTTTCTTATGTAGATATTGTTCTGTACCTCGTTCTGTATCTTAGTTCTGTACCTCGTTCTGTATCTTAGTTCTGTACCTCGTTCTGTATCTTAGTTCTGTACCTCGCTGCAAAGTTTGTACCATGAATATGGAAACATTCGGTAGAGGTCAGAGGAAATTAATTAAAAGTAAAAAAATATCCAATGCAAATAGTATTCTGTAAAATCTATTTTGAATAAAAAAATATTAAGAACCAAAACGTCCGATTTAAAAATATTGATAATATTTAAATCTTATTCATAGTCTGAAAGTAGTACTTTTATACGTGAGCTTACATAAATGTCTTTACATTTTGCAGAATACATGACAAAATGAGCACAGTTTTGCTGATAATAGCTGGTGCTGTTGTACTGAAAATTGCGAATATTCTTCATATCGTTATCAACTTTGTACATATAATTTTAGTGAAATTAAATAATTTTAGTGAAATTATATGTGGAATTTCTGTATTTTTCGGCATAATAATATAACATGAAAAGCATGAGAGAAATAATATTTTGCTGAAAACTTAAGAATGTAGGGGCTAGTCTCTTTAACATTCAATGAATGGCTATCGATATCTTGGAGAGATATTACAAAACTGAAAACTGGTTTGGCGATTAAGTTTTGTCATCAAATTTGAAGGAAAATGGCCAAACGTCTCCAAACCTGATGCACATTTTTCAACATTTTCGTCCGGACCCTCTCTAACGGTAATAGGTATTGCATTTGAATATCCATAATTTTTGTTTAAAATATATTTTATCAAACTAACATCAGAGCTGCTTAAATTCAATCTATTAAGAAAGCGTATGCACGCAACCATATGTAACAGTGAATTTTTTGACGTGTTCTTCACACAAAAGTATAATACACTGCAAACTTTAACTGTAGTATAAGAGTTAAATTTCGGAAATCTACTACTAATGCAAGTAATACTGAATAGATCCCTCATAATAATTCACTGTAGAAAACATTTAATATAATTTGAGCGAATATATATCTCGGCTTTTTTATACATGATTTCGAAATTCTATGAGGAAATAAAGAGTGACAATTTTATTCCTTTTTAACATACACATTACATTAAATTTTTGACACATTAATAAAGCCATTGAACAAAATTTGCTTTGAGAATTGCTAAATTGCTACATACCTGAATCTCCTGTTTGTGCACCAACTCCCAATGCATTTGCACCACCTAACATAAAAAAATATGCAGCAGTTATAGCATTCATTTTTTTTTTTTAATTTTTCGTTTGATTAAAATAGTTCTTTTTAATAACAATAAATCCGAAGACCTCAAGAGCTATAATTAACGTTCATTTTACAGCCTTACGTAATTCGTACCAACTGGAATACACCAGGTATCCATGAATAAGAGTCAACTCAGCGAGTTAATTGTGTCTGACATCGGTTGATTAATTGTAATTAGTATTATTTTCATTTCTATACTCTATTTTGAATGAACGCCAAACCGAGATTTATTGTACACCCAAGAGGAACCACATAATATTTCATCTTCGGAGGAATAAATGTAATCGGAACAGCCGGTTATTAGGACCAGAACGTTCCCGATGTGGTCGGATTAACCGGAATCGACTGTACATGGAAAATATCTTGGCAGTACGGTTATGGTAATCACGATCAGTGTTTAAAACGTTTCGGAAGCTTATCATTAGTAGATATTTCACAATAAATGTTGCTGTACTTATTAAAATTGCATGAACACATTTCAACTTTTCAAGAACTTGTCCTTCTTTGTTTTATATTATTAAGAGCCATCCAAACCTATATAATGTTTTCAGATTTCTGATATCTGAGTTTACGTCAGATATATAATTTCACTTGATTGATAGCACTGCAAATGTCAATTCTGTATTCTATTCATTTTTTAGAGTAAAATTCGTCTACTCATCGGCAATGTTTCCTCCCAAAGCTTTGTGCCCTGAAAATTATGGGCTGTGTCCGTTCGCCCTTAAATTTGAAAGGAATTTAATAAATGTATAGTTTTATTCTAATTTTAAATTCATGAGTGCATATTTCTGATTAATCCTACATTCTGAAGTGCCGTGACTTATACAAGATAATCTAAATTTATGGTAAAAGCGTGGAGAGATGATCCAGAACAAAGGTATGAATAATATTGATATAGGATCCTTGGTTGGCAATCCATTTATTTATACATAATTACATATGTATAAATATTTCATTTACAATAAAAACTGGAAAATGCGAATGAGATCACATAACATCTCGTATAAATTGTTTCATACAAAGAACAGGACACAGAGAAACTTACGAAACGTATTTAAAAAGATTTTCTTCAAAGTATGTAACGAAACAAATTTACATATTAATAATTTGCATAAATATGTACTGTCGCGGTAGAAAGTTGTAGGTGTGTATCTCAGCAGGGAAGGAGGCTATTCGCGATATTACTGTCTTCAGTGATTGGAGAATTTACATATGCTGAAAACGCACATATGGCATACACGCACCGCCGTGCAAACGACAATGCCATATCTACGCTACAAATGTCATACGCGCAGTTTCTCGATATACGAATGCCGGAGCACATAATGCTTCATCGGTCAAATTGAAGTTTGTGAAAGGTGTTTATGCTCGTCATCAGACAGGATACTAGCCAACGACAAACTGTACGTAATCCAAGATTTGAAGGAAGAATTTTGACTTATAGACAGGAATAAATGATAAGAGATGTTGGATAAAGCGTAGGTTTGGGGTCAGCGTAACATTCGGTGATATTTAAACGAAAATCGCTTACACCCTGTCGATTTTCTGCGAATGCAGTCCTTGAATCCACAAGGCAATCCTCTGAGACTGAACTTCTACCAGTGTTTTTTGCAGCTGTTTTCATTCCAGCCAGACTTCACAGCTCCAGTGCTGAAGCCAGATGAGGCACTCCTCCTGGGAACGTTCGAATTGGTCGACATTCTGTCGCTCCGCCTTGCAAGTCCTTTTTAGCCGATTACTTCTGTCTACACTGCCAAAAGTAACATCAACGGAAAGTGCATTGCGTAAGGAAAACAACGATGCCAAAGGTTTGATTATGTAATCATTAGTTCCGTTTAATTAAGTTTTTCAAAAATTCGTAATAACTTCCATTCACCACGGACTTTCATCAGAGCTTTCGAGACCCTGGAGAAGTTCTCGCTCTCTCGACGTATAAGTGTCTTACATCAATATATGCACGAGATTCCTGAGGAATAATTTGGTGCAAGCTTCAAGTGAATCGGTTAATTAGTTATTAATTACGAGCAAAATTATGATTTTCGGACTTTGGAACCTCACTGAAGCGTGAATCATCCATACCTCAGCGACCGTTGACGACGGTTAACAAAAGGAATCTCGTCTTCCCCAGAGCAACAAAGGGAACTGAGAGTTTTTAATTATCTTCATAACGCTGTTAATTACCATTGTATCTTAATAGTACCAGGACGGAAGTTATTTTCATCGCCTGAAAGACACGAGATCCCAAATTTCAAATTAATCGGACAATTAGTTGAAATTTTACAACTTCTTTTCCTTATTTTCGGACTTGGCGACCGTTAACCAAAGGAAGTTGCCTCCTCCCTGCAATATAAGGTACTTGAATATTTTAATCAGTTCAATTACTCAGCTAATTAGCATCGTACCTTCATAGAGCCGTGTCTGAAGTCGCTCTCATAGCTTGCGCGACACAAGTTTAAATATAATCAAGAAAATCGGTCGGTTAGTTGAATTTCTACAGTTTTTTAACAAAATTCTTTGAACTTGGTTAAAAAAAAAAGACTACCTCCAACGAATTTGTGAACTTCTATTATGTGCCTCATTAATTAGTGTCTGGAGCTTTCTTCGTGTTTAAGTGTTGTGCTTGTGCTGTGCCCGTGTTTCTGCTTTGTCCGATCAACAACAGAGCTAACTAGATTCATATACACAGTGCATTTCTTCAGCTTACTTGTGTGTTTCCAAACTGTATTACCATTATACTTACAAGCACAAAAGAACAGATCAAGTATTTTGGCCAAGATATGCCATTATTTACATATAATTAATTATGCTGTCAGCTAGTTTAAATTATCTCAATTTTACTCATAATCTTGGAATTTCTTCTCAAATTGCTTTAATAGTGATTATACATACTTTCATTCAAATATTAAATCTATGTGTTTATATTACACCTAAGTATTTTTGACAATGTAGTTCTTTTGCAGACAATTTTAATTGGTTAATTAGGACTCAATGCATTTATTCATTATTAGCTTCATTTTATTATCTTACCTTTATCAATTCATTATAAGTATTTCTTCTTTTTTTTTCTTTTTTTTTTGTAATAATTAGCTTTCCAACTTTTCAATATAGCTAACTGAATTTCCATAAACTGGTTCTTGCACAGTTGAAATTATGATCTGACTGGTCCTTGTGTAATTAGCGTTAATTTTGCAATTTAGTCTCTTGTACAGTTGAAAATTTACAAAGTTACTAAGCTAATTATTACTAATTGCCTAACTAATTGTACGATTATTACGTGTGTCATTAACATCAAAGACGAGGATGTACTGAACCCAATAGCAATTAAATAGTAAACAATACTTTCTAATTGAATGTATTCTTGTTAATTTTACCATATTTGATTCTTATATATGAATTGATCCATTTCCTGTTCTTCATATTTTATTTAAACTGTATCCAGTATTATTGTTGGTTCTTATCGTTATATGATTGATTTAATTTGTACACCTGCATTTAACTGATTACCTGCATTTAATTGATTGCCCGCAATTTATCGTTCTTACCTGTATCCCTGTTTCACACCATTCAAACTCCCGCAATCGATGAGCACACAACTTACCACACACACATCAATCATCTGTAAATCTTTAGTGATTGCCAACTAGTGACTCTGTGAATTAGTGCCTTCCAACTATATAGCAACTCCTCAGTGACTGCCAATCAGTTATTTATCGTCTATGTGACTTTGCAACGTAGTGATTACCAAATATATAGCACCTCAATTGTGACTCCTCAGCAACAGCGCGTTAAATCGTGTGTGCGCAACTCTAGTGACTCGATCTCTTAACTCTTTCGCATCGAGAGACGACCAAATCTGTTTTCAAGAAACATCGAAAACGCCCGTGTTTACGAATTTGTCTTGGAATAGTTTTCCTTTACCCCTTTTGCGGTTTCATCCATCATCATTGTGCGCAGTTTCACCTTAGGGCCGGATTGCACCTGCGAACGTCAATAGCTTTCCGTATTTCTCCTTTATTTGCTTCAAAAGAATGATTGACATGTCTTTTAACAACTCGCGAAACCAATGAGCCATACACTAACGTGGAGGGGAAAGAACTAGGTAGAAAATAAACGAGGCGTTGGGGCGGTTTGCCGTTGCCTGAATGAACGGGCGCTACGGGCGATTTCGATGCGAAAGAGTTAAGCAGTTTCCTAGTGTGCATACCACATTTAGGTACTCAAAGCTTGGTCCTTGCAGCGCACAGCGCAACGGGGCAACTTCACAAAATGCCAAATACAGATATATCATAGTACGTCCGGAAACTCAATTTGGACGCAATCCTAGACTCCACCTCTCTCTCCCATAAAGATAAAGTCTCTGCCCTGCACGAGGAGTGCTTCGCAATCGGAACATCTAAACGAAGAGGCAGGCATTTACTGCCAGCCGACTTAAGATAACCTTTAGTTCGGTTCCTGCAAGCGCTCAAGACCTTTGCTCTAAGCGGCCCCAATCCAAAGGCAACAAAAGATCGCGCGACCAACACAGACCACGTCCATTCTCCACCAAGGAATACTACGGACTTCGAATGGGCCAGCACAAACCAAAACAGCAGGCACCAACCGGCCTGTCACCCAACCTACAGTCAGGCTCTGACTCACGCAACCCCTTCCTACTGAGCTCATCTACTCACATGAACAACCTACGAGCAATACACTACGACGGAAACTCGCAGAATTTCCCCTATCTCAGAGTGGCATCAAGGTCCGCGAGGCATCGCTGTTGAGTGTGCCACCCAAGCAGACCTCTCCAAACGCTCCACCACGTTTCAAAGCGACAAAGGCAAACAGCTCGACTCAACAAAGCTTCCTGTCACAGGATCCCCGCCATACTCAATATCCCAACCTCTCAGCAGAAAGAACTCGCCAATATTATCGACTTAAACCGACTATTACACCAGCTTAAGG